GTATTAAATGGTCGGGTGAATTAAAAACCCACCACATATAACAATTAGGCATTTAAAATAAACGACAACTTTTTTATTACAAACATCAACTTACATTACGTCAACTTCAGTGGACTGGAAAGTCGAAACATGTTTATAATAAAAAAATTTATTGTTTATTTTAAATCCATATTTAATCTGGTGCTTTTGAGATCATACATACATACATATAACAATTTATAAAACCAACACATACAGTGTTTTGTGAAGAAGCAAAAATGCCATGTTCCAACAGATATTTCAGAATGCAAGTTTAGTAAGAGATGTTGTGTGACTGGTAACTTTATAATAAGTCTCAAAGTATTTCAAAGTTTTGAAAAATATAATTGTATTGGGCATTAATTTGATTATTTAAATCCAAACTGAGGTTGTTGCTTTTGTTTAAATATTTTGCTACCATTATATTCAAAGATGTGTTGTCTCATTTAACACATAAACGAATACAGCATTGATAAATTAAAATTTAAAATAAAATGAATAAAAAAAACAAATGTGTTGCCTTTTAGGTCCTTCTCAACTAAACCTCAATAACAATGACAACATTGTACAGCATTATTCATAAAATGTTCAAAATTACTGTTTCATTTATGACCAAATATAAAATAAAATGCCCTCACCAGATAATTTTGTTCAAAATCTATATTATAAATCATTAAAAAACTTTACTTACCACTGTACGTTTTACAGACATTAATGACGATGTGTTTACGGAATCATGAAGCATGCGACGTTTGAAAATTGCATCGCTCGCACGCACATTCTGACGATTTCTTTTCTCTTTCATTTCATAAATTTCATACAAACATATAAATTTTCATAGCTCATACAACCAAACAACCACATAAACGATGACAAAAAGACAAGACTAAGGAAAAAATGTTAAATCACGTATTAGAACGACTACTTCCACTGGCATGAGCACCAGGACTATTGCTTTGTGGGGAGGGAGGTGATATGTTGCAAATGTTTTGGGCTTAAGCTGATATCGATCAATCGCAGCACAGGTATATTTACCAGAACCCTCATATTTACATCTACTATTGTATTAACGAAATCACCCAATCATAGAGCGGCGAGAACTTTTCGCGTTCAAACAGTACTTTCAACCACCTACGCGTTTCAAAAAAGAGAATTATTCGAGTCTAGGAAAGAACATCAAAAAGTTCGGTAAGATCGAAATTCTACAGAATTACACAAAATGCGCACTTCTATGAAACTAGGTTCTATTTCACACCAATAAATTTGCAATCAACGATAGATGATTTTAAACAGAATGTTGGTAAATAAGCTGATTTGTTATTTTCAAAACATTGTTACAATCGCATTTTCGTCGAAGAAAACGCATTTTGGTGATTTATTACACTAACGCTCTAACGAAGGTACATTTATACGTCGCTACGTTAAAAGTACAAAACGCACGCCAGCGATCTCCGTACTTTAGTTTGCGAAATGTACACTATGGTAGGTATTAGAATATCTTTTATCAGTTGATGATTGCACGTGAAAACAGCGAAGACGATGTGATATCTGGGTTTTCGATTTAACTGAGAAACCGTTATATTTAGCCTTAGTAATGTTTTTCTTTGTTCAAATCTCCCCGTCCACCCAACTGTTAAACAACAAAGGCACTTGGGCAATATTCCCTGAAAAGTCGGGTAAATAAGGTCATACATCAACATTTAAAATATGCCGACCACGCCTTAAAAAGTTTTATCCAGTGTCTCATGATTAGGCCCAGTTCAAACGTCGCATTTTACATGCGCCGAATCAAATGCGAGAATTATGTGCATGTAAAATGCGACGTTTGAATCAATTAAATTCGACGGATTTTAATTTAATGCGACTTTAGGCCCGGTTCAAACGTCGCATTTTACATGCGCCGAGTCAAATGCGAGAATTATGTGCATGTAAAATGCGACGTTTGAATCAATTAAATTCGACGGATTTTAATTTAATGCGACTTTAGTCGCATATTCGACTGAGTTAGTCGAATATTCGACGGAAATTCGATGTTGATTCAAACGTCGCATTTTACATGAGCCGAATTTAATGCATAATTTATTTTAAGATATTTCTAAGCAAAAATCAATTATTTCCATGCTAAATGCCATGCGCAAAGTTGTAAAAACATGGCGGCGGCGAGTGATGGTAATGGCCCTTGTATTTCGTGCACAAGTTTAACAAAATACACTTGTTTAAAGTGCAAAAAATTTATATGTACAAGGAAAGTTTCCTCGAGATACACGAAATGTTTTTTTGAATCAGAATAAATACTCCAAACTTTCTTCCACCAGCCGGAATTTCTATCTTGTCTTCGACATGATCGATAAGGAGGGCTACGTATGAAGGCTTTTTTTTTACCAATTAACGGTAGAAAAACATTTGCAGAAGCTGCCGTCTCGTTTCTAATAGTTTATTTGCTGTAACATGCGTCAATATTCGTCTTTTCCTATTAACACGAATCATATTTGAAATGCATAAACTCAACATTTTTCTGTTCGCCATTTTAGGAAATTAGTACAAGAAAATAAATAAACTATGAAAAAGTGGAAGCATAACTATAATAAATGCGACTATTAAATTCGACGTCTGAATCAAACTACGCATAAAACTATTTTAGTCGACTAAAACTCAGATTTGATTCGGCGCATGTAAAATGCGACGTTTGAACCGGGCCTTAGTCGTTCATAAATTGATGTTTTATGCATTTAATATACACGACAACTTTTTTGAAAATAGACATGTTTCGACATCTCATGATGCCATCTTCAGTATGAATGAAATAATAGGTGATACAGGGTTTATATAAAAGTAATATGATACATAAATTAGAACAATAAAAAGGAAATAAGATAATATAATGAGGAGCGTCCGAGCGTATTATAAACTAAATATTGTATTGAATTTAAAAACTTGAACATTGAGGTCAGGGTTAGTTTTGTTAATGTGGAGTGCTTCTTTGATTTTAAGGGTGAATGAGGTGTCGGCAGTGTCGATGATTTTGAAACAAGAGGGTGAATAGTTGGTTTTGCATGAGTGAGATTTAAGAAGGTGTCGGTAGATGTGAGAGTTTTTGTCTGTTGTGGTATGTTCCCTGATTCTGGTGGATAAATGGCGCGAAGTTTCGCCAATGTATCGGAAATTACATCCCGCGCAATTGAATTATACCACCATAGATTTAATTGAATCAGGGATCGGGTCTTTAAATGAAAAAGGTTTTGATTTTGAATGATGTGAAAATTAGTCGAATGTCAATATCTGTACAGAAGCGTTTCATAATGTTTGTAAGTCTGCGTTGTGTGTGTCGTGAGTAATGTCCGATGTCTGGTAGTTTGAAGTATAGAGTTGTTATTTTGGAATTTTCATTTGTGTTGGTTGTGATAGTCGTGTCAGGAGTTTCGGTGTCTAGGTTGAGGTTGTTGCTATGTTTGTTGTCGAGATATCGTTTTACGGTTCTGTTAATAAAGTGAAGTGGGATAGAGTTTCGTAAAGAGTGGATGTGATGTTTTTATGTCTCGTTGAAAGCCATTGTTCGTATTGTTAAGTTTGTATGCTCTGTCGATTAGTGTGCGTATAAGTCCGGTTTTGTATGAAAGTGGTGTGAAACTAAAATAGTTCGTCAGAAGTCCTGTGTACGTTGGTTTGTGGTATGTAGATGTTGTACAGCTGTCGTGAGATTTTGTTAGTAAAATGTCAAGAAATGGCAGTTGATCTTGTTGTTAAGTTTCAAAAGAAAATCTAATGTTTGCGTGCTGTGTGTTAATGTAATTATAAAACTTCATGGCCTCAGTTTCGTTAGTAAAAACACAAAAAATATCGTCAACGTATCTGAGGTAAAATAGTGGTTTAGTGTCGTTGTAGTTGTTTAGCCAGTTTCGTTCATGTGAGCCCATGAAAATGTTAGCAAGGATGGGTGCTAAGGGAGAGCCCATCGCAACACCGTCCGTCTGGTCATAAAATTTTCCATTAAATAAAAAATGCGTCTGTGCTGTTGCTATTAAAAACAGTTGTGTGAGGTCGGTACTGTTTATACTGAACGTGGGGTTGTGAGTGAATATTAAGTCGATTGCTAGGTTGATGGTTTCAGTAAGTGGTATGTTAGTAAATAGGCTTAACCTAAACCTAGACACCGAAACTCCTGACACGACGATCACAACCAACACAAATGAAAATTCCAAAATAACAACTCTATACTTCAAACTACCTTACATCGGACATTACTCACGACACACACAACGCAGACTTACAAACATTATGAATCGCTTCTGTACAGATATTGACATTCGACTAATTTTCACATCATTCAAAATCAAAAACCTTTTTTCATTTAAAGTGCCCATGACATGTTTTCAAAAATATGATATTATAATAGTTTAGATGATTTTAAGAAGGTTTTCAATATATTTTATAATTGAAAAATTTCATCTTCATGGACTTTGAGCACCTTGAATTTGCGCATTTTTAATATTTCTTCCTATTGACCGTGAGTATAAAAAGACTGGTAACAACAATGTAACTAATTGCATGTGTGACGTCACATCGGGAACACACTTATGCTATTCAGTAACGTTTGTCTTAAAGCACCACAAAAAATATATTTTTTTAATACGTTTGCGAAAGAATTTTTTTGTGAAAATGCCACACAGATGCGTCGTGTTTGGATGTTCAAACACGTCAAATTTGAAGAAGGGTATTGCTCTCCATAGAATCCCATATGCGAATGACAAAAGACCCGAAGCTAACAAACGTAGAAAAGCTTGGGTTGATTTTGTGAAAAGGAAACGAAAATGATTTCATACTCGTTTGCAGGGATGTATTGCAGGTACGCAATACATCCCTGCAAACGAGTATGAAATCATTTTCGTATTTTTTCATACCTATATTTGTAAATATAGGTATGAAAAAATAAATAATTTATACTTTGATTTTTACCTATCTAGACACATTTTGGCTGTTTTGCATTTTAACGATAACTTGAGGAGAGATGAGGTGATTGTCAAAGATAAGAAACAAGTTAAAGTGGTGTACCCTTAATTTAAAAATGGTGAAGCTACAGTAAGAAGTGTTAGAGTTCATCAAATTTTTGGTGAGATATGATTTCAATGACAACTTGTGTACACAAGCACAGTTACAACAGACACTCATAGATGTTCAAAACACAATTTCTGTTCCTAAAATTGAACATCTGTGTGTAGATTATATTGATGAACTTTATCACACAATGATGAAGGCTACCAAAAAGCAATTTGAAAAGGCATCTGAAGAGTTGTCAAATATGTCTCCTGCACCAATGCATACAATGTTTGAGAGACAATCAAGAGCAAAGGCCATTAAAAAGAAGATCAACCGCCAGAAAATGGTAGTTGCAAATGTACCACCCACCAATGGTATGACTAAGACATTCTTTATTTAAAACTTAAACTTATTGTCTACATGTCAATCACAAAAAATATAACATTTTAGTCCAACCAACAGTGTCAAATAACATCACCAGTGAAGAAAGAACTCGTCCACACTGTCGAGCATGTGGGAAAGCAATGAAAGGCCATCAATATGTCCTTGACTGTCCACGAAACAAGAATCCAAAATGAGGGTGAATATTGGCATACAAATAGTAATTTATTCATCCTCAAGTTCATCATCATCATAACCTTGGAAATCTTTTCCAGGAAATCGAGTCCTTATTGAATGATAGGCACAAGCAGGCAGTGGTATCCTTTTCCTTCCTAAGTAACCATGCACCAGCTGGGTAAACTCTCGATAGGCAACACTTCTTAAATACCTATATTTACAAATTAAACAAATGTTTGTTTCACAATAATTAAATTTAACATAAGATGAAAGCACATAGGTATGTACGTACCTGTTCTCATCATCATTTTTCGCATATTTTCTTCCATCTATTTTCCTGAATTTTGGGCCTGCCATTCGCAATGACCAAATATCCAGACACACTGAATTGAATGCTGGATGAAGTGTAATACATTTAGGAACAACTTTCATTTCACCCAGCACCATTTCACTGTTTAAGGACTCTATGCATTCGTCAAGTTCTTGGCAACACTGACTCTCTTTTCATTTTGAAGCATATTAGTCCTGCAATTACCACAAATGCACCTACAAATACAAAGAGCATGCATTTGTTCATGTTGGAATACAACTTGTAGTTTGAATTGATAATGTGAACAAAGAACGCTGCGCAACTGAGATAACGCTCATTGACTTCGCGTGAAGTGAATTATGGCCCTAACTTGTAAATATTTTAACAAATAAATCTACTCACCACTGCTCCAAAGGCACACGATTGTTGAATCTATCAAGCAGCGTTTCCAAAAAAAATTGACGTTCACGTAATCCGTCATGATAATTTTGAACCCATTCTTCATCAGCAACAGGTTCATCTTGATATGGCAACATTTGTGATTCAATGAAATGTTCAGACGCATCAATAGAGTCACTTAGGTAATCGACGATAACCAAACTTTCTTCGGCTCCCATCAGGTACTTTGAAATCGAATCATTATCTGAATCATTTAGACTCTCAATTGAAAGCGAAGAGCTCGAAGACATCTTTAATTTTTCAGGCGCGCAATATAAAATTTAAAAACTTATGGTTCTACTCAGAGTGTAATAAAATTGCGAATTTATAGCTGTGTCTTTAGTATAGTATTATGTCTTGTGTTTGTTCGAGAAAAGCACTCAAAAGCGTGTTCCCAATTTGACGTCAGATCCGGTGTTATTTGTTTTTCTCGCCCTAGGCCTTTTGACATCACGAACATTCAAAAAATAACCAACTTTAAGGCATCCAAAGTCCATGAAGATGAAACTTTTCAATTATAAAATATATTTCAAATGTTCTAAAAATAGTCTAAACTATCATAATATTGTGTTTTTGAAAACATGTCATGTGCACTTTGAAGACCCGATCCCTGATTCAATTAAATCTATGGTGGTATATGAATTCAATTGCGCGGGATGTAATTTCCGATACATTGGCGAAACTTCGCGCCATTTATCCACCAGAATCAGGGAACATACCACAACAGACAAAAACTCTCACATCTACCGACACCTTCTTAAATCTCACTCATGCAAAACCAACTATTCACCCTCTTGTTTCAAAATCATCGACACTGCCGACACCTCATTCACCCTTAAAATCAAAGCACTCCACATTAACAAAACTAACCCTGACCTCAATGTTCAAGTTTTTAAATTCAATACAATATTTAGTTTATAATACGCTCGGACGCTCCTCATTATATTATCTTATTTCCTTTTTATTGTTCTAATTTATGTATCATATTACTTTTATATAAACCCTGTATCACCTATTATTTCATTCATACTGAAGATGGCATCATGAGATGTCGAAACATGTCTATTTTCAAAAAAGTTGTCGTGTATATTAAATGTGTATTGGCAATAGTGCTTTTACGAAATGATGTTTTATGCTTAGTAGGGTTAAGACGACTGGACGACTTAAGATAAATTTTTTACATGCTTCTTATAAAGGACATATAACTCAAAAAATGTGCTTTACTTTATATTTGCGTTGAGCATATTGAAGCTTTAAAGATTTGATTCAATTTTTTTCAAAATGTTGCCTTTCTATGAAAACGTATGTAGCGTGAGTACCAAGTTTAATTTTATGAAACATCTTTTTGAGCTTTATTCCTAACATTCTTCTCTTGTCATATGAAAAGCATTTATTTATGTGTATAAATAAAAATCAGCGATTATAAATATAGTCATCTATTTATGTAATGTTGTTAGAGAAAAAAGTCGTTTTTTTTGATGTTCCGCCGGCTGTATTTAGCGTAACTGCATGAATTCATGTGTGTATTAAGATCATTCTCTGTGACAGCCAAGTTTCCGGGCTGTATCTGAATATAGCCCGGTATTTCTAGGCTGTATCTGGATGCAGCTTGCAAATTCATAATCTTTTTAGTTGAAGAATTACGCTTTAAATCTATATTTAATTTACATTCATATTTCACTCACGTTTGAATTATCATCATCTCCCTCAGATCCACGACAAAATATTTCACACACCCAAAAGCTTCTTAGGCTGCTCATTACATGTCGGATCTAATGTCAATTGATTGAATCTCATATTTCTGTACATTCGAGAACTTCAAAAAGCCAAGTTCTTGCCCAAAAGAAACAACATTGTATTTCACAACGACATAGAGAATGATTCTCAAGCAACTTTAAACTTTAGGCTCTAACTTGCACATTTACAGTACGGTGAATAACTTGCTCAGAGTAAATCATGTCTAGAAATGTTTAAAATTCGCAACTTTACAACAATTTAAACCTACCCAGACCACTCTTTTTCAGATATCACTACTAACCACAACACAGCTCGAATAAAATGAAAACAGCATGCAAAAAATATGAATTTTAAATAAACACCTTTAGGATTCATCACTGTTTTGACTCAAATACTAATGGACAGTTCTTTATTGTTTCCATAAAGGGAAGTTGGCAGTTGGCAAATGGTTTCACGTTTTGTGTTTGTATTACAATTAGTTTTTATACAAACAATTTTCTACAAAAAATATAGTCAAATTGTTCCTCCTGGAAAACGTCTTCAATCGTATAATAAGTTAAAAAGCGGACTAGAACCACAGCTGTAATCACTATACCACCCTAGACGCTTTGTGCCGTATATCACTTACAGCCTCGGTTCCTAACTTATGTATTAGAAACATACACTCACATGAACAAAAAATTTGTTGAATTTGATAAAATTTGGATGCACTTCATTTACCCGAAGTTATGACAACTGTTTTTGGGTAAAACGACCATGACGAACAACATGGCATATGTGTCATTTTCTCCTTCTGGTACGAAAGTCCTGAAATCAAGACTAACAATACAATTTTAATTAACCATTCACCAAATAAGAAGAAATCAAGCGAAGTCTAGAGTGCTAACTAATAAATATAAATGTTACTTTTCCATCAAGATTGGAGTATTTTTTGTGATATCTTTTAATTTCAATTTAAGTAACATCAACTCTTTTAAGTTCTATCTACGTTCTTTTGTTGTTTTCTCACAAGCTTTCATCCCTAAATATAGCTCCTGAAACTAAAAAAACATTTCTCGAGCTTATTAAGCGACGAAAATCAAATCTTGATAAAAAAAGGATTCAGAACACACTCGGAAGTCGACCTAAAATGTTGTGGTCACCATTAGAATTTTGCAACGAAATTTCGACGGCCGAATTTCCCAATAAATAGTCGATTTTATTGAAAAGCTGTCAAAATCTATAATCTTTTTTCCTAAATAACAAAACACTTTCTGTACCCTCCCCGGGGAAATGGCAAGTTTTATCCCCGAGAGTTTCAATATAGATTTAGTGTAGGACAAATTTGAAAGCTATTTATTACACAATATAATCAAAGATAGATTTCAAAATAGCAAATACCATGGTGAATGGTGATAATAACAATGTAATCCTGTCCTTTGCCGACAAAAGGATTACGTGTTTAATCTCTCCCTGTTTTAAGTGTCACCTCTAAAAATAGAGATGACATTGACGTTTTCTAACGTTATAAATATAACATGGTTTGGAGGTTCTCATTTAGCAGACGTTGACACCTGATGAGTAGTCTGCCGAAATGCATAGAACTATTTTAAGAACTATAACATTGTTATTATCACCATTCACCATGGTATTTACTATTTTGAAATCTATCTTTAAGTTTGTCACCACGACAAAGTCTCTGTTTCACGATATAATCAACACACATATATTGTAACAATTTTGCAGAAAACATATTAATACGACTATCCCCTACATTAAAATGCTAATAAGATAAAACTATGTTAACACGTCTTAAAAAACAGAGTTCAACAAAGCACAGTGCAAAAAGAAAGTTCCTCCTTACATTATTTATTATAAGTGCTAAATGAATGAATCCCAACGAGTCTTTAAAATATTAACTGCAATTGTTCTGTTTCGATACAATACGGGTATTTTTCAACTTGCTTTCAAAATGACAGTTACCAACAAATAATGTCGTTGAATAGTGAGTGAAAGTTATTATATACAACTATTCAATGCTAATTTTGAAAATTGCTATTTTTTACTTCAAGATACGACAACTCCTTTTTTAAACCACGAGTAATCTCATTCTTTACATGGCAGTTGGCAATCTATTATTAATACAAAAATTGGAGTTGAGATATGTGGGATTCATTTATTCAGAGCATTTGAAATTTAAAAAGCAAAACGTAACTATACTATACGTAACAATGTACACAACAATATGAAATAAATTTAATGATCTAAAATTGTTCACTACATAAAAATAAAGCACAAAGGATTTAAAAATATGAAATCTTGAAAAAGAAAGACGTTGAAATTTTTCCATATTTTTCATTCTCATAACTTTGTGTAGTTCTAACATGTTGAAGTTACTTTTTTTGTGAATGATTTGTTGACCATTTACATGAACTAAACTGATCACTTTTATTCTACAACCATCCATAGGTGAGAATTACTTTAAATTTTCATGACATGTTGCTGTTAATTCATTTCACACAGGATATAGTATCATCCAAGTACATAAATATTTCAGAGCATGCGCAAAGGCGACCAACTGTTATGATTTTTACGATGGCAGTGTGTTTGGATGAAGAACTGCTTTTATTAACGATGCAACTCCAAAAATCACTTTAGCATATTCCTATAACCACAATGCAATAAAATCAAATTTTTTTCATTCAATCTCATTATTACTTCTCCGTTATGTTGACATGGAAACGTCCATATGAGATGATAATTTTCACTCTTCAGTTTTATAAAAATTGAACAAAATGAACAAGGAGC